CTAAATTACCTCTCCTCTTTTCCTTAATACTATATTTAAATACTATTTTATAGCCTTTATATCTAGATCCTAGAATAGCTAGGATCTTAATGTTCCTTTAATATATTCTATAAAAACTATATCCTTTCTCCTATTTATAAGTTTATTACTTCTTACCTAAGTAGGTTAGGACTTTAGATCTATATATATAATAGCTTAGTATCTCTAAACTCTAAGGTAATAGATAGTAGGCTTAATTCCTATAAATACTTCCTTAGGTAATAGCTTAAAGCCCTTAACTTTAGGACTATTTAGTAGCCTATTCCTAATTTTAAACTATACTACTAAGGCTTTAGGCTAGAACTTAATTAGCATTTCTAATTCTTTAATTATTACTCTTACTATATCTTTAGATATTTAGATAGATCTTTCTATAACTCTATTTTAAATAGAATTATATGTATCTATTATATTAAAATAGATTCCTAAATCCTTCTCCTACTATTTTAGTAGACTAATAAGTTTAGGTATATTATCTAATCTTATAGCTTTTAATTTTAAAGATGTTTTGCTTTTAGCTTTTAGCTTTTAGATTTTTAGAGTAGCTAGGGTATCCTCTCTATTAATAAGTAGGTATCCCTATTTTTTCCTTAAGAAGTTATTAACAATTTCTAGCTAGTATTAGTATTCTAATCTAGACTTTAGGAGAGGGCTATAGATATTTAGGAATATAAGTTTAAGTACTTAAGGTTTTCTCTTAGTAACTTTCTCCTTATATTTCTTTATCTTTATAAGAGTATAGACTCTATACTTTTCCTTATAGTCTTCTAAGAGTTAGATTAGATCTTTTAAGTCTATTATCTTATAGATATTCTTAAGGAGATTCTTTCTAAAATAGCTAAACCTTCTATACTATAGCTCTTACTAATTTAGTAACTCTCTTATAGTAAATCTAATTTCCTCCTTTTTATTCTTTTATAATAAAATAAGAGCCCTCTCCTAAAGGGACTCTAAAACTTCTAAAATAAATAGAATACTATTCTAGATTCTAGTCTAGATAATAGGAGTACTATCTCGTAATACTAGAGTAAACTAAGGTAGTTAAATACTATACTAATAACTAAACTAATTCTAAAAAATAAGGTTAACTTCTAAGTTAGGTATAAACAAAACTTTATTAAGTAGAATTTTCTTCCTATCCTAGCCTTCTATAACTACCTTTCCCTTATATATAGCTTATAGCTAACCTCCTCTAACTTTAATCTATTTCTTTCTTTAAAGTAGAATTATAGATCTAAAGAGTTATAGTTAGTTAGTTATATAGGATAAGATATAGGAGTCTAGTAGCTATTTAGAGGAGGTTAACTTACCTTTAGCCTCTAATAAAGAGTATATAATCTTATTAGTTTTATCCTTAAATTTTAGGGATAAGGTATTACTTAATAAGGTTAGGGAAGGTTCCCTAGATTATTATTTAGCTAGGTATACTTTTTTAGTAATCTTCCTTACTTTTCTAAGTTTAGAGATCTCTTTCTTAACTATCTCTCCTATTATCCTTTTAAATTCTTTAAGAGAATCTCTACTTCTATCTTCTTTCTTTAAGAAGGAGGAGTATTTCTTTCTAGAGGTTCTTCTCTATTTAGGCTTTAGAGGATCCCTAATTCTAAATAGAGATTTATTATAGAATCTAATTACTTTCTTTACCTTTTCTAGCTATAAATATTCCTATATAAAATATTGTTCGTTATCGAGAAAGTATATCCTTATCTTTTTAAAAGCTACTATTATAAAATCCTTCCTTTAATAGAGGTCTCTTACTTCTTAAGATTTAAGAATAAGGAGAATTTATTTATAGTTTCTAGTAAGTAATAGCTAGGCTATAATTATATACTTAGTTACTTTAAACTTAGATAGGAGTACTAAGAGAAGAATCCTAATTTTCCTCTTAGGTTCCTTTAAGTATAACTTCTTATTATTAACCTCTATAATTCTCTTTACTATTAAACTAATCTAACTCTAAGCTAATCTAACTATATTATCTTCTTCTATTCTAAAATTTATAAGCTATTATACTATTAATATAGTATATACTATTAATACCTTACTATATTTCTTCTAAAGGAAGAGCTATATTTTAGTAGCTATCTTTATATCTATTAATACTTAAATCTTATCTATATTATCTAAGCTAACTCTTAATCTTAGCTTATACCTATACTTAGTATTTTCCTTCTAAAAGTTTAGCTAGCTAGCTATTCTTATAATCCTAGTATCTAGATTAAGGAGTAATAAGTTATCTTAGCTAATTAACCCCTTAATATTATAGAAGATGCCTTTTCCTTCTAGGTTATCCCTCTATAGTTTAAACTATCTCTTCTAGTTCTCTCTTATTAGGATTAGGATCTTAATATAGGTCTAACTATCCTTCTCTTCCTTTATTTAGGTATAGAATTAGCTTAGTCCTACTAAGGCTTTTAGTAGTAAAGTAAAGGATATATATCTATTTTAAGGCTTTAAAATTAGAGGCCTCTACTCCTTTTAGCTATTAGATAATCCCTTAGTCCTAATAGTTAAATGTTCTAAACCTTTAGGAACTAATCTATCTTCTATATTTTCTTCTTATCTAACCTACTATTAAAACTCCTAGTAGTATAAGATAGGGTACTAGAAACTAGTATCCTTTCTATATTAGCTTTATAAGATAGGAGATACCTTTACTACTTTAAGGTTAAGGTCTTTTCCCTTTAGTAAACCTAGGCTTATAACCTATTAAATAACCTTTTCTAGGATATTAGTTAGAGGTTCGTAGAATTTTAGGGTAGAGTATAAGAGTAACTTAATCTTTAACTAGCTTACTATCTCTAATAGGTAGTACTTAAAAGTAGGAACTAAATATATTAATTTTATTAATTAATTCCTTAGAGAAGTATCTCTATTATTACGGAATAGTCCCGTAGGGACTTCCTATAGCGATAATCCTATATAGGAAAGACCGCTAAAGATAAGAGAGATAGGGAAGACCGTAGGACTAATGATACTATATAGGCGCGCGAGATTAGGATAGAGCGGGTAGAATAGGATCGCTAAGAGTACGACTAGGTTAGGTAATCTAGGTACTAAGCCGAGCGCTTCCTCCTCGACTACTTAGACTAATTAGACGCCCTACCTAAGCGCTTAGGGCGCTCGCGCTTAGACTACTTAGATAGCTTACCTTTATAGTTAGTATATATAGAAGCGATATAATCCTCTATAGAGAATATCGCGTATAACTTACTATTTTATCTTACTAATTAGAATATTAATACTCCTACTTTATTTTACTTTATAGACATTCTATAAGCTCTAACCCGATTCCGCCTAGCTTAGCCTTCTAGCTTAGCTAAGTAAGATTATCGAGATATTTATATCTTAATATCTATCTCCTAAAGTAAGATTTCTACCCTATATAGAGTTATATAACCTTATAGTTAATTAACTCTCTACTATACTAGATATATAGCTATTCTATAACTATACTTTCTAATAATTATAGTACTAACCCTAATACGAGTTATAAAGCCGACCTTACTCTACTCTTTACTACTATCGCTATAGTACCTCTAAGGACTAAAGAGTAGTACCTAGATCGCTACGCTAAAAGTATAGTCTTTAATAGATAACTACTCTACTACGCTATATAGTAGAATAATAATATTAGCGTAGAAATTATAGAGCTTATACTTCGCCGCTATTAATATAGCGTTAATTCTATCGAATAGGAAGATAATACCTTTATATATAAATACTAAAAGGTTACTAGATTAGGAAAAACCCTCTATAAAGTAGTAAAAGAAGGGTACGCTAAAGTTACTAAGCTATTACTTCGTAAGGGTACTAATATTATACTTAGTAACTCTCGCGGCGAACTAGCTATCTAAGTCGCTAGAACGCTAGGTAATATCGAAGTTATCTAGTTTCTTCGCGACGCTAAGTAAAGGTCTAATATAAACCTATATTAATTAGCTATTATCGTCGCCTATACTATATTAACCTATAATACGTTCGTCTATCTAACACTATAACTATTATCTTAAAGTAGGACGCCGTCTAATGTTATTATTATATATTATTATTACTTAAGATATATCTAGATGTTTAACCCTAGAACTCTTAGAATTATAAGATCTAAAGGCTTAGAGGCTAATAGACTAGTAGAAATGCTATAGAAAGGGATATAATATTAACGTAGAAGCGTACATTTTATAGTTTTAAGAGTTCTAAATTAGCGTCTAGAATTAAAATAACCTATTCCTAAGATATAAGCTTATAAAAGAAATAAGGAGTAGTTTAARAATTACGCTACTAGTAGGAGTACTAGTTCCTTTAAATAATTACGGTATAGCTAACAATTAACTCTAATAGGAGCCGAGGGGTCGCTAGAACCTTAGGGGGTAGGTAGGCGACTATATTACGTGTCGTAAGCGCTATAGCTAAGTGTCGTAGGCGTAGTAGAACCTTTAGAAGACGAAGAAAAGTAGTCGTATTTAACATTGTTATATAGAAGTGTCTTCGTACTTACGAGGCAGACTACCTGCCTCTAGAAATATGCTCTCCTAGAGTAAAGCTATGTTCTTCTAGGTGTCCTTAAGAGCTCTAATATATGCCGTATTACTCCGAACCACACCTTCGGCTCTATTAAAATCGATCCTATAACGAAGTGCTTAGTAGTAGGAACTTAGTATAGGTCTACTAGTAAGTTACCGTATATACTATGCGCCTCTCCTATAGCGTAGGAGAGAGGCTATAGAGGAAGAACTTTTGCTCGGAGTAGCCCTCGACCCTGTAGCGGAACGGCATTAGGTAGGAGCTAATGCATTCCTTATAGTTGCTCTTAAGCTTTAAAGTATTATGTTGGCAGTTGGTATTTGTTGAAAACGGGCAGTAGTATAGCCYATCAGCGCGCGGTCCTTTGCTATGTAGTGGAAACTTTCTGTAGCGGTCTTCACCACCTCTTTTACTCGCATCTCCCCTCTTTAAAAGTCTTACCCCTCTAAATCCTCCATCTTCTTCTTCTTCACCTGCAGATATCCCTCGACAGCGCTCAAAACCCCTTTCCTCTCCCCCAACATCCCATCAATACCGCCCAACCCCATTACCTCATAAAATGTTTCTCCGTCCCCCCCACTACCCCCCTCGAACCCTTTCGTCTGTGGCCCAGCTCCGTAACTAGGCTGCATCCAAACCAGGTCTGCCTGCCTATCATGCGGAATCTGCACGCTCCGATGTTCCGGTTCTGGGAAATCTTTCGGCAACGGGTTGTTCTCACCGTAATGTTGGGGTAGCACATCATCAGGAACGAGGAGTGGGCCCACGGCGTAGAATCCCGTCATCTGTCTGAGTATTTGTTCCATWGTCCAGGAGGGGAGATGGAGTTGTTTCACCGGCAAGATTCCCGAGTAGGCGTTTACTGGCGTGAAGAGGTCTACGAAGAGGGCGAATTTTGTGAGGGAGGTGTTGTGTTGTTCTGCGATGGAGTCGGGGGTTGAGGTGCTGGAGTTTGCTTGGATGTAATAGGGTTGGATAGTTGTGGATACGGAGTCGGATGCCGGGACGAGATGTTTGCTTTTTGTTTTGGCGCCAAAGTGGGTTTGTATCGTCGAATATGTGGGCATTGTAGAGTCGCGGGGAATGGGACAGTACCCGATCAGGCCGTCGTAGGCGGCATCTTTGTCGCCTAGTTTTAACGGAAAGCGATAATCTTCCACACTGTGGACTTGTTTCGTCGCATCTCCAAAAGCATGAGACGCGTATGGTGGCGTGGCTAACTCGAGGCTCCAGCCCGCGTAGGTGAATGCAATCGGTCGACCCAGGACAGCAGGCAAAGCATCTGCGTAGCTTCCAGGCGCGTGTGGTAGATTACCCACGGCTTCCTCAATCATGCTGTAAACTTCCACGAGATAATCTCGCTGCGCAAGATGAGACATCAAAGATGCCATTTGTGGATTCGAGACGGGTTTGGGAGCAAATGGTCGCAGCCGAATACCTGCACCGCCTGTCTTACTTCCGAGTGCGTATTCTGCGGCGAAGTCGCCAGTCGCATGGAACAACTGGAGGGATTTGTCCATGTAATTGATGACGAGTAGACAGATGATGGGATTTTCCCACTCGCTGCAGGGTCTCCATGTAGAGCCCTGACGCATGAGATAATGAGCGTTCCACCGCGCATCTTGATTGATTCGGGGTGGAATTTGAAAGAACTCGCAGCGCCCAGCTTCTTGATCAAGGACGGTATTTGGGCGAAAGTGTCCTTCACTATCAGGACCTAGGGGCTCACAGAACATGTACTCGCTTGTGATGGGATCAATACCATGATTGACCATGTCCTCTGGAGCACGATGGGCCGGGTCCAAGCATGGTACTACCTGTCCAAATTTGTCTACAATGGACAACTTTGAGAATCGAGCTTGCCCGTGAGTGACCGGCTTGAAAGCAGAGAACTCGGTCAATGGACCTCCGTTCAGTTCCGAGAAAGGAGTTCGTCCAGTTGCAGTGCCCATCAAGGCCATGACTTCCTCAGTAAATCCAAGATCGGCCACGGGAGCTTCAGATCCAGCGGCTGTGGAAGGCTTTTGTCCTTGCTCGCGCTTGAGAGGCTTCAGATGCAATCCTGCTTGTAGCGTTGCCAAATGATCATTGAACCCAGTCATGGCCGACGACATAAAGAGCAGGTTGGAAAGCACGTTCCACATATCATCAGCTTTGAACGCTGGATCAAGATCATTGGGGTTGACAGCATCCAAAAGCCTTTGGATCATCGACCTGATCTGTGAAGCTACGTTTGGGAGCACGAAACTTCTGCCAGAGAYGATGTGCAAATCATCTTTTGCTTTGGGGTCCTTGGACAAGTCAATCCCTGATTTGATGCTATAGCGTATGCGCTTCTCTTTGCCCGAAGGTYCGAATGTCCAGCTAGTGAATGGGATGTGGTAGTACTCCAGCTCCCACTCCACGTATATTGGAAAAAACGCCTGTGTCAGCCATATATCATGCACATTGTGGTAGTGAGATGTAATTCGTCCAAAGTCTAGTCCACTGTTCAAGCACATCCACTCTAGGAAGAGGTCTTTAAAGACATGCTCAATGTCAGGATTCCCGGATTCTTTGACGGCGTTTTCCAACTTTTGGGTGACATCGTGATTGTTTGGTAAGTGCTGCAACCTTTTCCTCAAATCCCACGGGTCATAAGAATCGGTCTTCAACCAATCCATGCCCGTGTTACCGAACTTGTCACTACTGTATTGGATCCCCTTGACGAAAGTCCCATAATCAGCAAGGTCACGATTCGGGGGATTAGAGTTTCGAGATATTTCGTCCCAGACTTGGGGGAATGTGTTATGCTCAAGTACATCACGAGTAGCCAGAGGAGGGATCCCACCAAGCTGCAGTCGTCGAAGAGCGCTTACCACGGCTCTCATCATCGGAGTCCAGTCCAGTCCCAGTCCCAGTCTCCCTCTCATTTCGTCATATTGAGGCACAAGGTAGAGATGTGCCCTATGGCCTAGTCTCTCGTTCGGTTCGTCAAAGGTGCTCACTATTTGGTAGTTGCGACGATCGAAATACTCATCAAATTCCCATTGGTAGCCACGCAATCTCGAGATTGCAGCGGCGATAGATTTGTCCGTGTACATCGCATCCAAGGCCTCCTCGATCAAGGGATGTCTCCCATCGTCCCAATACACAGCCTTCTCAAGCAATTTTTGATATCCGCTGATGTATGCGAGATCACTCGATATTTTTGCCTCATCGACGTCGTCATACTGCCATGCATATCGGCGAGGCACGGGATTTTCCATATCGCGCCCCTTTCTAGACATGCGCTTAAAACGAACATGGACATCGTCGTCCCAGTCGGTTGGCCAGCCAGTGGGGAGTCCAGCGAAAGCAACCACGGGGTCTTTTTGCATGTAGAAAGATGGCGCAATGCCAGCCTCAAGATTTGCTGCTTTGGCTTCTGCTGCGAGACTTTGTGGAGATTGTGTGTTTACGGTAAGATTGATAGCTTTGATCCTGTCCACTAGTGCCTGCCTCGACGTTTGTATACCTTGCACGGTTTCGCTGGATAGAGTAGTGGCAGCAGCCTTCAAAGAAAGACCCTTCCAGTAGAGACAGAAGAGTAGATGCTGAAGATGCGTCTTTTCGCGCTCGAGCTGATCCAACAATGCTTGGGTGTTGTTGAGACCTGCCAAAGCCCTGAGAGTTTGACTGGAAGGTAGGGCTTGTTTGGTGTTAGCTGTCGCCGCTGTATCGCGTCTGAGATGCCACACAGTGCCATTCTTGGCCGGCTTGAAGTTGTGCGTGTCGAGCAATTCCGCAGCTTCGAGTTGTGAGTCCACATCGTCTGACGGCCGAACAAGATAACATTGCACTTTCTTGATCAACGCGAATGCGGCCTTTTGATTCTCCCCGTTGGTCAGATTGTCGGCAGCGGCTCGCATCAGTGCAATAAGTGCATCTATTGATGTTGCACCGACAGCAACTGGGCTGGATTCGCGCAGAGCTGTCATTGCAATCTCAGCAGGCCACTTTCCAATTTCGGGTGCTTTTTCTTTGTCATACTCGACATGATAGAGTGCTCCATGACAAATTGTGAAAGCCTGTGCCGGACCATCGCCAGTCTTTTTCCATTTGCAAAGCTTCAAGTTCCGAATATCCTCGGGGTGGTTTTCATCATTCGAGCCAGGTTTCTGCAACTGCATCTTGAAAGTCGACAGGAGGTCTTTGTCGGAGACGAACTGGCCAATCTTTCCAAAACTCTGCATTGGGTCTTGAGGTCCCTGTGTTGCGCTTACACGTCCGTAGTAACCCATCAAGAAATACGAGACGGTTGCCGAGCCGACGTCATGCATGTCGTCGTGCAGGCTAAAGACGCCGGCGTGGTGCGGTTGGTAATCTGCAAATAATGGATTTGAGGCACCAACGACAGTGAGAGGGACCTGTCTTTTGACATCTTTATCGGCTATGCCGAGCCCTTGTCCACCCTCACGGACCGCACCAAGGAAGGCATTACCTTGCTGATGAAGAGGACGACTTCCATCGAGAAATGGCGTGAATTCGTTTTCCACGTCTTCAAAAATGGYGAATTGGTCGTGAGAGCGAAGCAAATCAGACTCCACGATGAACACTCTTGTCGAAGCGTCGGTGCCTCCCGGGCTAGTCGCAACTCCTGGGCTAGTCGCAATACTGGACAGCTGTCGCACTATGATCCACCGATTAGGCACAGCGATATACTGTGCTGATGTCTGGTCAGAGTCTTTGACAGAGGGTTGCGTAGGTAGAATCGACTGCGTAAGGTCTGTTTGACGCCCTGCTCCAGAGGCCGTTGCTACAAATCCAGCACGAAACGGGCGAGGAATGCACCAAGAGAGATATACACCAAAGCGGTCTGTTCTTAGCTCACCAGTAACAAGATCGTAAAGTCGCGGATTTATTGTCGAGGGAGTAGACAAACTTAGATCCAATGGGGGTACCACATCGTGTCGAGGTGTGCTGCTCGCAGAAGCAAAGTTTCCATACYCTGGTTTAGACAAAGGAGCCACGCGTGACTGGCCTTCGAAGATGGCCTTGTTGAATACGAAAGCATCGAGCTTGACCGGTACACAGATTGCCTTGATATCGTCTTCTTCAGGCAGGTCGGCATCGTCGAGTGGAGGCGCTGGATCTGGCATGTTGGACTTGAAATAAATCTCTTCAGCTTGTTGTTTTCGTCAATGATTGAGAGTTACGAAAAGGTGGTGAACGAGCAAGGTGCGAAGTCATCGCAGTGCACAGCGATACGTGGGTACAATCAATCGCGATCACCTCCCTGGCCCAGGCCTGCGGGCTCACTCGTGGGGAAGCATGGAACCTAGATCAATTGGTTGGTACATGCACGTGGCGTTTGCTCAGCTTGTGCCAGCGACGCCACTCCATGCAAGCAATGTTCGCCTATACTTACCATAGCGGCTCGCTTATATCTCCAGAGCAGCTCAGTCAAAAGACAGCCCCAGCTTCTGCATTGCTCGGAAACACCATTCTATAGCTTTCTTCAGGACAACGACACAGAATCAGCTGCAATAATGGCGTACGCTATCACACTGTCGCCGATTGAGCCAGGCAGTCTTCAGTAAGTTGCAGTGCTTCACATGATGACTTTTAGATAGACTAATGGTCCTGCAAGGGTGTATTCGAACATCAAGCCGACATTGAACCCTGGCAATTATGAAATCAACATCAAGCAGGACTTCGGGAGCAAGAAGTTGCACTCATCCAGGGCTTTCGAGGTCGTCGGCCCAGCGCAGTCACTTGGGCCTTCAGATATCCACAGCTACTACCCACTCGCTGGCACCTCTGAGCATGCGAATATCTTGCCACACATTTCTTTTCGAAACCCCTTTCTTCCATGGGCAAGGCCATCGTTCGCCGCGGATCCCAGTCCGCAACGAAGAACACCCTGGCTGGGACTTGTCAGCTTCGAAATGGCGGAGTTGCAATTGCAACCAAGCCACATACAGAGTCTTGCACGTGTGGCCACTTCTCGCACGGCCAGAATCGGCACGAATAGTGCGAAGCCAAAGGCAGACCCATTGGCATTGTCTTCAACTGGAGCTTTGAGTCTCACTTTCGCCGAGCTTATGGACCTTAAAGCCTCCGGAGGGATGCAAGTGGCACTAAAAGGTGCAGCCATGGACGAGAACGAAAGCGATGCATTATTACGAACGATCCTTCTGACAAGAGAAGTTGCTGTGACCCTGTTTGGAGATCACGATGGTGCGGCAACATCCTGGAGCAGTCCTGCTGAGGGGAAACCACCGAATGTTGAGCGTTATGCACATCTTGCCCACCTTAGACATGTCAACACCACAGGGTCGAGAGACGCCGCTTCGTCAGACGTAGTCCAGGRGACCGTGAGCACCCTAGTCTGCCACCGTACGGGATCAACCAAGCTGGATGCTCCTCGCAAGATGGTGGTCCATGTTATCTCACTAGATGCTCTGGATGAGCTTCATTTAAATTCGGGTCCAGATGCGTTTACTCTAATCAGCCTCCATAGCTGGACATATTGGTGTGTTCCAGAATCCCATGCTCGCTTCCAAGACACCATGAAGGAATTAGCCAAGAACATACTGCCACTCACCTACAGCCCAAAGCAAATCCTAGAAGTGCTTGGGACCCCTGGCGGCGGGGATAGGGATTGGCTTGATGCGCGAATCAAAAGTGGCTACACTATTATCCGATCTATAGTGCAGACTGGAGAATCTACAATGGGGATTGTACGAGGCTGCTTTTCTCCGTACAGGCCCACAAATCGTAGTCGGGGGCCAAGCAATGACGGGTATAGTCTGCAAATCCTCGATCGAGAGGCCGGTATCATGGACTTGACATATAGCATGGCTTGGAATCTCGGTCGTACCTTGGCTTTGGCAGATCAGGCGTTGGCCCAGGYACTGGTGCGCATCCGCGCAGAGATGCACAAGTCGGCCCTTACTCAGGCGAAAAAAGAAGTCGATACTGCGTTCATGTCCAAGGCAGATCTTGTGCATCAAATGAACAAAGTGGCATCAGAGATATCCGAAGCTGTCAAGACAATGAAGGACATGGCCCTTAATGGTCGCTGGAGATCTGCGAGTGGGCTCGTAGCCATGTCTCTTCGTCAGGAAGTGTCTTGGTTCAGCGAAATTATGCGCTCGAAATTTGACCAGAACCTAAAGAGCTTTGCGGGACAGCTGCGAGATCATCATCAGGCTGATATGCACACCATTTCCCAATGGGTTCTGAGCACACTCAGACTTCAGGATATCCCTCCATATTATCTTATCCCTGACCTGCGTATGCTTCCGCACGAGTCTGTTCGGACCTTTTACATTGATGATACCTGGACCGACGCTGTTCTTGATGGGGCCCTCAGCGTAGGCAATCATTATGATGATGACGATATCGCTCGAACAGTCATCAAAAAGGAGCTCAACATCATGCTTGCCTCGGAGAAGCGGATAGCGCGATGGGGCATGCTCATTCGTAGCGAACAGATGAGCGAGAATCAGGAGCTGATTGTGTCGATTCGCGGTGCAAAGGAGACCTTCCTCTCTAGTACGAAGCTTGGGAATGAAATGCGGCTGATTTTGTGCTCCAAGTATGTTGAGGATCCTGACTTCAGCTCGGGAAGCGACAAGGCGATTGTTTTGTCCCAACCTCCGCATCAACAACGATTCTCCTTGGCCACTTTGACAGATGCGAAGGTAGAGTCCGCAATTTTTGGTCTCGAGTCTTCGGAGGCGAATTTGCAGGAAAAGTACAAACATTGGCCTGCAACCTGGAACAACACCGATGGCACTCGTAGTGGTAGCTGTGCCGGAAAGACTGACTTGCCACCCATTTACAACTGGAAGACCCGTAGCCTGATACCAGACCACTTATCTAAAGCCTGCTCAACGGTACTGCATTCACAGATGCCCGGGTCCGACTTGCTGAATGCTGAGTCTGACGGACAAATCGGTTCCGCAGCGTTGGCATTGCAGCTCAATGACAATGTTTTTGATCTGGTAATCAGCGCAACTTCTTGTGTAAACTCCGCGCCTAACCAAGCCGCCACGCCAACAAGATCAATTCCCATACCAGCAGAACGAAACAGAGACCACAATGGTGGCTCTGTACTACCCAAGCCAGAACCGGTGGCAGCGCCGGTTGTGCATCGAGTACCTACAGATCCAAAGCCCGTAGTTGCAAGAGCTGGGCCGCTTGGAGCTGCAGCACAGACGATCATCATGAAAGACGCCATYAACGCATCTGGTATCGTCAATGCTTCTGTCTGGCCGGTTCTCACACCTCACAAGGCAATCCCGTCATCGCACCCCTCCGCCCTGGACCTTGTGTTTGCACTGCCACTGAATGGGGGCAACAAATTCACGTCGGCCTTCCAGATGGTTCTGACGATCCCAACCGGTCCCGGAGAGACTGATCTCTTCATGCAAGCGTCAGATGCCCCTCGTGTGAGGCTCCTGTCGAAATCCGTGAGCTGGAAGGCCAGCGTAGTCGTGCCCGATCTGCAGAAACGAGATTCCCTACGCCTCGTAATATCCACCCATGACTCGCCGTCTGAGGCATCAGGAGTAGTGCGCGAGCTCGACGACCACCCAAGCTTTGTGCTCAGTCCTGTCGCGAACATTACAGGCCGCGGTATTGTGACCATTGCGTGTTCGTACGATGCACGAATGCTTGGAAACAACCCTTGGGAATACTACGGAGGTCACGATACTTTCACCGTCGTCAAGGAAGCTGTTGCCCAGGGTGAGGCGTGGCCTTGAATTGTGTTGGATGCGGGCAAGGATAGAATATTTTATTTGTCACGTGTCAGACAGTTCTCTGCCAAGATCAAGCTTGTCTACTTGAAATCTCCGGAGCTTCGTCGCCTCAACTTGCCATTTTGTGCGTTCAAGTCAGGCGATGTGATGGTCTCGCAGGCACACATGAACGGGCGCTGCTAGTGCTGCCGTTTCGCTTGACCTCTCATTCCATTCGCTCTGCTAGTAACGTGGATTGATTGTGGCGAACTGAATGTGAGTCTGACGCGGGATTCTGCAACACATGGTCACGCCACAAATGTCCCTTCAGCTAGCCACCTGCGAGCTCATGGCGTCGGCTTGCATTAACATTGCGCATGGCCACGTCGTCTTGCTCTTTGTACAGGCGTGTCCACAGAACTACCTCTTTCGCATCTCTTGAGCACGATATCTGCTCCCCATGACGAGGCAAGGAGAAAAAACGATTGGCAGCAAGTAATATCTCCTGGAAAGCAGACATGCCGGACACTTTTGTCGTCGACACCTATCAGGTAAGCTGATATGCAAGAACGTGCTGCACTGTGCATTCTCCATTGACACCGCCTGGCCGCAGGTGAACGTTGGGGCTGGAGACTGCTCTGTACACATTCTGGCCAAAAACCCAGGAGCCACTGACGATGTTCGAGGCGAAGTCATTCATGCTGTACTAATGGATGGAGGCGAAATAACGAATTCGCAGCACTACATCAGCCAGACTCTGACTGACATAGGTGCGAGATACACAAATACATCCACCATAGTTGGTGTTCCCCTACAATTTCATTCACTGGTGATCACACACTGGGATCGAGATCATTGGAGGGGTATGATCGATCTACTACAACGTGACTTAGCATCGCAGTACACGGTAGCCGCGGACGCCGTGTTTGAATTGTACGACGCCTGGAAACAAGACAAAGAGAGCAAGCCAGAGGATATGCCTCCTAAGCCCGTGGACCTGAAGAAAATCCAGTCCAACTATCTCAAATATGGCCGAAATGGGGAGCTACAGACGACGCTCTACTGTCCGGTCTGGGAATCGTCACAGTCGCAAAATTTTGTGCCCGGGGCTGAACGGGGCAAAGAACCAGAAACTCCCGAAGACGAGAAATACAACGGTGCTCCTCAGGGCAAGCCTCATTGGGATGTCCAGCTCGAGTATCGTACAAATACAGTGTCTATAAACGCGGGAAGTTTTCCCGCTGGTCCCAGTCGCATGTCGGCGAGGCGGGACATGTATGTGCCAGCTTGCAGGGTTGTTTATGACGCTATCAACCTCATCGGGCGTGAGATATTCACATCCAAGATTTTTGCAGGTGACAATGCCGACAGAGCTTCTCCTTGGACCAGTGTCAAGACTCTTTCGTCACTTCTAAAAGCACATGGTGCAGTTCCTGGTCAGCCAGGGATGTATTGTGTGGCGGCAGCACGACAAGTCATCGGTCGTCCTAACACTGCGATAGACAAGTTTGACAACGCTTCTCCGGATGCGTCCATCAAGTTCGATAACAGCGAGAATAACAAGACAAACGCGATGTCTCTTGCTTTCATCATAGCTTGGCCACCCATCAAGATTGGAGCGAAGCCACGTGTATCGCTGTACACTGGAGGGGATGCAGAAGGATACGTCGAAACAAGACTTTTGCCTTTCTTGGAAGAGGTCAATACTGTATCCGTTCTCAAGGCCGGACATCATGGCTCTGAGATGACACTGCAGCCAATCTTCATCAAGAGAATGAACCCAGGTAAAATCGTCTTTTCCTCCGGAAAAACCAACAAGCATCCCCGTAAGTCGAGCCCAATGTTCAATGATATGATCACTGTGTGCTTTGGGCGCTGAAGACTATGACAGACTGGACGAGGTTGGCACTGTTAGCCCTACACTACAATCAGCAGATCTACAAGCAACAGCGAGGCCCAGAGGCGTTTTTTTGGAGCACATGCTATCCGTACTGGACAATTATTCCCCCCAAAAATCCCAACGCAGAAGATCCTGAGATGGCACAAATTGAGGCAATGTCGGACCGATTCAATCCTTCTGCATTCTACAATAAGCCATTCCGTGATGTTCTGACTAGCTGGTACCAGGAGTATCGCACACTTCTCGGCGATGAGCCCGTTCCTGCTGCATCGCCAGATATCCTAGCGGAGTATGACCAGATCATGATCAAGCATGGGTACGAAAAGGGCGCCATATTCGAAAATGGGAGGGTAATCAAAAGGAAGGCTTTGCAGGAGCTTCTGCCCTTCTTCATRCGCTTGTTCGGGACCCTGTGGCAAGCCATGTCCGATGTTACATTCACAGATCTTGCCGATAATTCAGTCGACGCTTCTGGCAATTACCTGGATGGCTCATCTCGTCTGTCGCAATTATGGATCAAGCATCGGGACGACATTAGTGACGGAACTATCCTCATCTTTCGACTCGGTGTGTGGTTGAGCCCCAGAAGGACGACGAGGGTGTACAGAGACAAACGCGAAAACAGTGTCGATGAGATTGAATGGCATCCGAGGGGACAGAGTAGAGCTGGCAGATTATACAATCCGAGCAAGGTTCCTATGGAGGAGAACCATGTAGTCGAATCGAAATCATCGAATACATCACATAAGAGACAGAAGACCGAGGCGGAGGTGGAAGAGGAGAAAATGGAGGGAGAGGACAATTTGGAAGAAGCTCCAAGTGGCGCGACGGGGGGAGCCCGAACTGGAATGCTTTTCGTGCCGATGCGCGTGAACGCTACACCTATGGTTGGTGCGAGCGCCTTCGACGCGAGCACAGCTACGACGACGTCAACAGTCAGTTTCCTTGCTGCGTCCCACTATCGGTCTACGAATGGCACTCTTCTTCTGTCGACAGATGACCCGCTGGACGAGTTCCTGGCCGCTCTAGCCCCTTCCTTTGTTGGCCTTGACAAAGATCTGACAGTCTCGCCAGGTCAAACACCAACAGTCACCCTATCCAAAACCACTGGCTTCAGTCGCTGGCTATCCGAATCCATTGGAGCGACAGCCATCCACCTGTCCCTGTTGATTACCAGTCATAGATCTGATAGTACTGGTAGTCGGAACGATGCGAATATTGTACATTGGACCGTGTCTCTGAATCTGGCTAAGAACGATCAATCGAACGGTGCGATTGCCCTCACATTCTCCTCCATGGCATCACATCTGGCCAAGACGCTGAACTTCACCCCTGACACTGCAAGTGGGACTATTGGTGACACTGGATACTCTGTTGGACTCGGAGCTCTCGTACTGGCCCTTGAGCAGCAGCCTTCGGCTTCTATCGGTCTCGGCCATCTCTGCACCTTCCTCGACCTACCTCTAGGTTGGATRGTATCTGCACTTGACAAGGTCACCCTGCGAGTGACCCAGGATGCCGATGCTTCGCAAACTGCTGTCCTACGTCGACTTGCATCGAACGCCATCTGGATCCGACCAGACCAGAACTATAGCACGATCATTCGACTTCATCTGCGTGAAGTCGGCGGATCACGTGTGGAACCCTGGATCATGGAACATCTCCCTGACATTCAAATTTCGGATATCAGAGTCATAGCTTACAAGGATGCGCGACGTTTGTTTGCTCAATCGGATTCATCACACGTATACAAGGTGGAATCCRGCATAACATACACGGCCAAGATCGGGCTTGGAAATTCGAGCGCGCAAGATTTTTCGGCCTCGATCCGATGTGGCACTACCGGACTCGATGTGTCTCTGCGGTGGGATGGCACAGCGGATCCAATCGTCGACATGCTTACTTGGGTTAATAAAAGGACACAGGGCATGGTCGATAGCTCGGTTCTCGATTCTTTCGTCAATGATCTTGTTTCTAAGAATCCATTGAAGCTGAGGCAATTCTCCCTGCAAATCGGCCAAGACAAATCTTTGCAGCAGCTTCGCTTCGAATTCGAAATTCATCTCGATCTTGGGGCTCCCAAGAACAGCCAGGTTCCTCTCCTGGTCAGCTTTACATGGTCTCCGCTGCAAACCAGCTTCAGAGCTGAGATCTGGCCTCACGATATGCTACCCAAGTATCTGTTTCCCATCAGGCAAGTGCCCGCTGATTATCCCGCCCCATGGATATGGCCGACGTATGATCCGCTGAGAGTCAGGGCGCCGACATGTGCCACCCCGATAGACCATTTCTCGCTCAAATATCTCCGACCTCGCCATGGCAATGAATCGAGCGACAGTGAAACCATTGACAGTCAGCAAATTCCGGCATGGCTTCCCACTGAAATATACGACGCTGTGCTTGAGATCAGCGACAAGCACACAATAATGTCTGCGCAGGTCTTTTGTGATGAGCCTGGAAGCGCAGACGCTGTGCCTGCGATAGCATTGGAATCCTTGAATCTGTTCGCCGAATTTCGTAGAGCGCAAGGTCCCGATCCGGCTGGGTTCAATTTACACTTGGAGGGACGGGTGACCCTACATGCACGCGAGAGTGTTACCACGCCCAGCTACTCTTATGGGCCAGCGAGTCTTTCTGTCCGACTGGATCACGCTGCGAAGACTACGACTGCTCCAGAAAACTGGACTTTATCTGCTTCGGCAGACGATCTTGCACTTGCCGCACTATATTCCTTGTTTCCTAAAGGGGGTCAGCAAGACGCTGTCATGAATATACTGGAACACCTATACATTCCTCACATGTCCATCATCTATCAGTACAACAAAGGAGTAGCCTCATCTCTCATGCTCAGTGGATCGATCCTCGTGGGAGACGTGGAGCTGGATCTCGAATATCGGCACGACAGTAAAGGATGGATCTTTGAAGCAGTGCTGGGCGAGGCCAAGAAGGCTTTGATTTTGGGTAAATCCACGACCGCACCAACTTTGGGTTCTATTCTGGGTGACATTTCACCAGAGATTGCCCAGTACCTGCCGGATCTCGTCACCAACATCCCCATTGAGCTCAAGCAGGACCTCCACGTTGGGCTGGTGTGTAAGTCCGGAAAAGGGACGACCGTTGGTGCGGTGGAAGACCCCGGCTCTCTTGTCATGGGGTTTGTAGTCGAGATGGACTCTCTCCAGGTCACTGTGGCCACGATCCAGCAGTACAGCACGAATCCGGACAAAGCCCAGGCATCAACAGAAACCCAGATGATGAGCACGAAGCGAGTTGTGAAGCTCACTCTAGATGAGTTCCATTTCAAAGATGTTGGAATGCTRGGACAGCTGACGCAGCCGTTCGAAGCCATCGATCTTGTATGGTCAAGTGCTGACATGAGTCAGGCAGACGTGGAATTGTTGAATAAGGATATCCTACAAGATACGAAGCTATTCCCACGCAAGAAGGAGCCACTTCGCCATAAGAGCACGGCCTCTGCTGAAGGTCAAGGGCTGAGCAATGCACCCGTCATCACTGCTGGATGTCATCTGATGGTCACTGCCATAAGAGCTGGTGCAGTCGTTGTGCTGCTGGACTACCCGTTTGGCTCGACAAATGTCCCCACGCCTCAACTACCTGCACCAGTCAACGGCAGCACTGCAGCGCCACCAGTAAAGACACCAACGCTTGAAGGAGGTGGGGAGGAAGTTTCAACATCTGTGTCAGAACAGCGCGATGCTCTCACCATTACAACTCTCGGATTGGCTCTTGCCGATAGAGTGCTATCGATCACACTAACAGCAAAGCTCGCCTTTGGTCCGCTGGCACTGGGGCTTATAGACTTTGTTCTGCACGTCGACTACACCCAGGCCAGACACCTCCGTGACATTAGCAACCTGCACCTCTCAGCAAGCATAGGCGGCATCGAAGTTGAATACAAGAAGGCGCCTGTGATTCTCGCCGGCCTCTTTCGCCATATCGTTAAGAACGACATGGACTTATACACTGGTGGTATCAATCTTGGAATTACACCCTACAACTTTTTAGCTGCAGGCATGTACGGAGACGCCAAGGGTCCCCCTCCGGCTCGTAAACAGTTCAAGACAATGTTCGTTTTTGCAAAATTAAATGGCCCATTGATTGAGCTGGAATTTGCCGAGATTAATGGAATCTGTGGTGGCTTTGGGTACAACTCCAATCTTCGCTTCCCGGAGATCTCGCAATTGGGACAATTCCCACTGCTGACGACTTCAGACAACAGCGCCAAAGATCCCCTAGAAGAACTCAACGCGTTGACAGACTCATCGCAGGGTTGGATTCAACCACAAGATGGAGCTTTGTGGCTTGCAGCCGGCCTGGAGATTAAAGCCTTCCAGGTAGTTGATATTTCAGCACTAGTCGCCATCAATCTCGGAGAGTCCGTTACACTTGGCGTATTTGCAGAAGCAGTAGCGAAGCTGCCGAAGGGCGTCCCTGATGAACAGATTCTGCTGTTCGTTGACTTTCTCTTTACAGCGCAAATCAACTTTACCAAGGGAACACTCATCGTTGGCGGCGAGCTTGCACCGCGATCCTTCATCTTGCATCCATCTTGCCACCTCACTGGCGGAATGGCTCTGGCATATTGGTTTCCGAACTCGGGTCATCCAGGTGATTGGGTTTTCACAATCGGGGGATACCATCCACAGTACAAAAAGCCATCCCACTATCCTGATGCCTCTCGCTTGGGAATATCTTGGCGGTACGATGACCATTTGTACATTTCCGGAGGAGCATACTTTGCGCTTACGCCAAGACTGTGCATGGCCGGAATTAGACTACAGGCACATTTTGAGATGGATTCTCTCACCGCGTATCTCGAGGCCCACGCCGACTTTCTTGTAAACTTTGAGCCATTTCAGTTCCAGGGGGACATTGGGGTCTCAGTGCATGTGTCATACGACATTGACTACCTCTTTGGACATGATACCATTACTGGAGATATCAGCGCCAATGTCAAGATACACGGGCCCCCTGTGGGTGGAACAGTTTACATTGACCTGCATATATTCGATGTGTCGGTTGAGTTTGGTAAGGCCTATCAGCCACAGCCTGCACGATCTCTGGATCAGTTCTGGTCCACGATTTGTCAAGGAAAAGACGAGGACAAGGAGCACATTTTCTCTGTTGAATCAGGGTTGGTGTCGCAACCGCAGAATTTCCCAGGCGGGAATGCAGCTGCCACATCCAACCCTTGGGTCGTTCGTGGTGACTTATTTCACTTTCATATCACATTTCGGGGCGCGGCTTCTTCTATCCAGTATGGTACACAGAGTGCGGTTCAAGGACAGCCAGTCCATGCCAAGTTGTGTAAGCAAACGGGGAACAATCTACCAAGTAGTGGTAATGTCTCCATCYGCCGGAAAGATAGCCCTGATATTCTCAACTTTACGATGGAAGTGGAGAAAAAGCAGCTTCCAGTCGCTTTATGGGGAGAGTGTGAGTTTAGATCTTCATGCCATGCCATTCCATCCATGAATTTCGCTAACCAGTTACAAWCAGACTCTTTCGAGTCCGACCCAGACTTACCTCTGCCAGGGCGTCAAGCAGCACTCACAAAAGATGAGCCCTCGACAATCGAACACATCATGGGCGTGGCGTTGCGGCCACCGAAAGCCTCACCTTCAGATGATCGCATCCCTCCCCTCAATCTCGCAGATGCCTCAAAGGTCGACCTTCTGACCGACAAAAACAACCCGCCTCAAATCCCCATTTCACAGCTCGATCCAGCACTGCCTCTCCCCTTCGACACAGCAGAAGAGGCTCGTTTGGCGTGGAACAATCCGAACTTGCGCATTTCTAAAGATAATCTAGTCGGGATGTTCGCTTCCCTTGTGGAAAACACAGGTGGTGGTCGAGAAGCGGCAGAATTCAGGTCTATTTCTACGTCTCCGCCAAGGGAACTTTTCAAAGAGTGGAAGGATTTAATTGCGAATGCACCTGATACGAAGATCAATATAGACCTGGCTGATGATGGAGTTGAACTGGAATCACCCATGGTGCCAGACTTGGAAGTCGACATGGCGAGAACTGCTGATCCAAAGTTGTGGTATTCTGGGCTTCCATGGGGTGCATAGCTGCTACGGGAGGGCGAGGGCTAGGTTTCCAAGTCTTACTGCGAGCGTTGTCTAGTGTGTCTGCCTGCTGGAGAACGATCGATGTAAATAAACCATGGGTATGTACTTTAGCACAACGAAGCATTATAACTATTGTCCCGTCATTTATCACGTTCTATCGAAATTTATGTTCCGAGCGCGTGTACATGTAGCTTGAGACTCCCCTACACCAACGCGGTGAATATATTACGGCGCTGTTATGTAGAGTAGATTACTTCTAGTGTACTTCTCCACAGATTTTGCGGAGGCTGGGCTCTTAGAAGTGGCATCTACATCTCGCCATCATGTGCTGTAATCGAGCGGAGAGACAGTGACTTTTGGTTTTGGAAAATCTATGCATTCGACATGAGCTTTTGACACGATACTCCATCAAGTCTGAGGAGGCCAAACTACAAGCCGCAAGATCTCGAGACTTATACCAAATCTGAGCCTCTACTACGATCAATATCAGAACTATTGTCTCACAGTGACAAGCCATCCGCTGTGAAAGTTATGCGTTACTATCTCTTGAGACATTCCCAGATCTTGGACGCTAGGGTCATAAAACATGACGCCTCGGAAACCAGTGAAAGTGGCCAAAATCATATAGAAATGGGTATGACTTTGACGTAATAGTGTGCAATTTGCAGATCTAAGAGTTTTCATCAGCGTTGAGCATCAGAATAGGTATGTTTTTCGAAAACTGAGCTTTCGAAAGGGACAATAAGCACCGGAACCCGGGTGTAAAGAATTGGATATGTCTCAAGATGACAGGCGAATGCTTCCTCGCCTACGCAGAATGCTCGCCTATGTGGTGATCATCATGTCGGTTCTCGTTCATCGTCGCTCCCAACTCCATGAAATGTTCAAACAAATAATAACATTATTCACATCAAAGCACACCATGAAGATCGGCGCAGACAAGCTTACGAACACCATGGAAATTCCACTGAGTCCTCCATCCACACCGCCCGGACCATCTCCAATCTTTGTTTTCGATGCCATGCGCACAAGATCGCATCTCTTCTTCCGCTATCTCTCGACCTACACGAGACTCAATCCTATCTACCATCCATACCTGAACGCCGCAATCCTAGGCGAAGAGCGCTGGGCTAAACCGGCAGAATGTTGCGAGGAAAGGAAGAAAGAAATATGGGAAGGCATAAAACCTATGCTCACTAGCGCTACATTTGACAGTTCGAACGAAGAACTGAGGTGGCGTGTTGAAGAGGGTTAACATGGAGTACATCTCTYTCGCCGTCACTACATTGTACGCTAATGCTAAAAATGACAGGGGTGGATCCCGCTCATTAACGACCATGTTCCTAATCTGCTGCGAGAGGATGTCCTCTACGGCTTACACCGGAACATCATAACGATGGAAGAAGCTGGCAGGTCTAATCCCACGCACATCCCGGACTCCATTTACTCTACATTAACACCTGTCATTCTAATTCGTCACCCGATCCTGCAGACTGACTCCTCCTTTCGCGTTCTCTCGTAGTATGGATTTAAGAACGCCCTAACGGATGAGGATTTTGAACTCCACTAATCTACTCGCTCGACGAGGCTCCTCTTTAATCTCTTTAGTGCTCAGGATCGAAGACCTATAGTTGTCGATAGAGAAGATGTGGTTTATCGAACTAAAGATGTGACTGAGGCTTTGTGCAAGAGTTTAGGAATGAGACTGGACCTAGAAGGCTTTAGTAATGTGTGGGAGAGGACGCTAGAAGAGGACATTCTAAAGCACCTATTAGTAAGAGGATTTACGAACACTCTTCATTCCTCTACTAGGATCGAGAGGCCGGAAGGTGGTAAAGTAAGCATAATAGCTATTTTAAAGAGTAATGGCGAAGCTGATTATATTATCCCAGCCTAAATCGCCAAATCTTAAGGTAATAGTTAAGAAGTGGACATAGAGATATAGCAATGTAACTGCTATTAGGTTGAAGAAGGTAGTGGAGGCGAACATAGCGGATTATAAATATCTGTTAAAGTTTAAGGTTTAATAATTAATCTTATAAGGGTAGTCCTACCGCTAGATCTATACAGAAGAGTTCAGAAACGATAAGTCTACATATAAGTCTTTTAGCCGGGTTGGCTATTCTTATTAAGGCACTGCCGTTGTGGAGCCCTAAGCGGGTTTAAGAATACCCGCTTCTCGTTCTAACAGTACGAAGAACTCTACCTTTTATAGTAGTCGCCTATTTATCGTTCTTATAACCTACCTATTAAACGAGCTGCTACTTGTGCGAAGGAGCGCGTTTTTATTAAAAGCCCGCCGAAGTGTTTAAGATTGCGATGCGAGCTTTTAAATGTGAATAAAATTAATCTCTCGTGCGTTTAGGTATTCCTTAGCACGCAGGATTTCTCTCTAATAGTAGGGCGTTTATTCGTCGTATAGAGAGGAGAGATAGCAAAGGGGAAACATTCTAGTTGCGTTAGAACGCTAGTATTAATACCTGCCCTAGCCGGTTTCGTTAACCTCCGCGGGGAAGCTAGAGGGCCCTACTACTAACATTAGTACTACACCGCCCTCTAGCATCCCCAACCGTCTCGATTAGGCTAATATACTAAACCGTATCGTTGCTAAGGCTTCTTAAAAGGTGTTGTTTATGTCTTCGCTATGCCTACGCTACTAGACGAGAGCTAAGAGGCTATTAATATCTCGTCGCGTTGCCCTTCTTTACTACTATCTTTACTACCGCGTAATAAGGGCCCTTAGCGACTATCTTTACTACTAGATACGCCTTAGCCGGACTCTCTAGGCTATATACCCCCTCCTTCTACTTAGCCGGTGTTACGGAGGTTATAGCGCTCTATATCGCGTAGGCCTAAAGCGTAGGCTATAATTAACGCGATAAAGCTACGGTTAAAACGTTAGAAGTTAATGGATTTTAAGAAGGAGCCGGAGCCGGTGCTAGATAAAGATAAAGATAAGGAACTAGACGTTCGAGTGTTAGCTATAGAGGCAATAGTAAGGCTAAGTAATATTACGGAGGGCTCTAAGCGCTCTTAGYAGTTATTRTTCGTAACTCTAGTRCCCTTAATTAAGCGCGGAGGCACGGTRGAACTAGAATCCTTCTATTATAAGTAYACTAAGGCGGAGTTAGYAGAGTTTCGAGAGCGTAACCGAGAATAGAGGGATAAGGAAGAGGCTAGGATTAAACGAGAGCGTAAGGAAGTAGAACTATAGCGACATCGTAAACTATAGGCGGATAAGTAGAAGGAAYAGTAGCGYATATTAGCTAAGCGCGCGAATGTAGYRTATTAAGCTACGAAGGTTATTAACGCCGCCGTAGCTCTATCGAAGAAGCGGAAGAAGGGTAAAGGTAAGGAGCCTATTATTATCGYRGAGCCGGTTATTATCGCTAGTCCGTTAAACTAGYRAGTGTTAGAAGYAGAGCCTTTAGCGGAGCTACCGCTAAGTAGACGTACCGTRTCGATATTACGCTCTAAGTACTCGTCGCCGCCCTCGGAGCTATAGCCGTTCGAGTATCGAGTAAGCCTATATTATAAGAAGGGCCGTAAGYAAGAAGATAAAACTTAGAGGCTTAGAAGCGACGAGGAYAGCGCTAGTAATATATCGGACTAGATTAACTTAGCTATTCGAATAATAAGAGGTGTRTTCGTAAGCGCTAAGTTAACTRCTTCTTACTATRYATTRYTAGTCTATACTTAGGCYAAATAGACGTAGAAGGGTACTAGTAGTTAGTATTATATTATAAGGGAACTAAGCCTATTCTATATAGCGAACAAAAAGGACCTCCGTATAGGTGTAGAAGTTAAATTAGACGCTAGTRTTGCTCCTACACTAATAGTAAGAACGGCTACTATAATCTACCTTAGACGATTACTAGAAGCTTAAGCAGCCCTACGTGCTAGTAGTAACTTCTTAGAGGCTATTA